ATTGGGGTTTTCTCCTTTATAGAGAGCCCCCAGGCTCCAACAACATCACCTCCAGGGCCACAGCATCCCTCGGAAGACCCGGCTTTCCTTGCAGGGAGGGTGCTGGCATGGGGCTGGTGCCTTTCAGAGCCCCTGGCTCTGCTCCCTGCAATGCCCCAGGCACCCCCCAGGTGCCCCCCTCAGCCCCCAGGCCCATGCAGGCTTCTGGTGCAGTCGGAGGGATCAGGCTGACAAAAGCTGCGTGGTTATGTATTTATTTATTCATTTTCAGCTGCACAGAGCAGATTATCACTGGGCATTGTGCACCGTGCTGACTCGGGGTTTTGGGGGCCGGGCTCTGTCCATGGCCGAGCAGCAGCTCCAGAGAGGGGAAGGAATTTGGCTCAGCCGAGCACATTCGGGCACTGGATCCCTGCTGCGTTCAGGCATCTCCTTTTGTTCACAAGGCGATGATCTGAATTGTGGGTTTGGTATTTTCTCACCCATCTCCTAAAAATGGGTGGGCCGGACTCAGGGGGACTGAGGGCTGGGCCCTGCCCCGGGGACCCCATAGTGCTGGGATCTGGCTTCTGTGGGAAGCCGAGGGGTGCAGCATCTCTCCTCTGTTCCTGCCTTCCCCAGTGAATTTCAGCTGGCCTGGACCAGTGGAAACCCGAAAGCAGCAGCTGGCACCCAGCAGCCCCCCGGGAGCAGCAGGAGGAGCAGGGGGACAATGCTGGGAAGGGCCAGGCTGCAGGCTCCTGCCCAGTGCAGACCAGTTCCCCTTCTCCTTCCAGGCCTCCTGGGATGGCTCCGTGGAACAGAGCAGTCCCAGAGCAAACCTGCTGTCCCCAGAGCAGCCGGGACCTCGCATCGTGCCCCACATCCCCCCATCCCACACCCCAGAGCACCACCACCTGCAGCAGCTGCGGGGCTGCGAAACAGCTCCTGGAGCCCCATAAAGGGCACCTTGGTCCTAAAGGGGGCTCGGGCTGGCTTCCACAAACACGAGCAGCACAAAAGCCGCCTTTCTCCCGCTCGTTTGACTTTGTTTTCCCTCCCTCCTCATCTGCTTTTGGCCAAGGGGCTGAATGGCTCCAGTATGTGCTGCGGGAGGCTGAAGCCAAGGCGTGAGCAGCGGGGAAGAAGCCTCGGTCGCCTTGCCGAGCCCTTGGAGAAAGCAGCACCGAAAGAAAATATTTGTGCTCTGGCGAGCACACGTGCACGCTTCCTGCCCGTGAAGTCCCTAATTAAGGTTGTTTTTTATTTATTTTGTTTCTACTCGTGCTGACACAGGCTCGGCGGGGTGCGGGGGTGTCTCTCAGGGCTCGGTGTGCTTTGCTGGTTTGGAAAATGCGACGTGGAAAGGTGGTCACAGAGGGCAGCTGTGTGTCCAGCCAGGGAGTGGGGAGCAGTGGGGGATTTTGGGGTTGCTCTGAGCATCCCTGCTGTGTCGGCGTGGCTCAGAGCATCACCCGGTATGGAGCAGCCTCAGCCCGGCTGTGTCCTCACGACAGGGAAGGTCGGCTCCTTGCAGACCTTGCCAAAAAGCCTCCTCCTTGGGCCAGCACAGCGAGGCAGAGAAGGTTTTTCCAGACAGTTTGTGAGCTTGGGTCCCTCTGAGTGACCACGCTGTCCGCCTGGATCACCGTGTGTGGCTGGCAGTGGCTGGGAACAGGGAAGGTGGAAGCCAGCACGGATTGTTTCTCCAAGCACACACTTAAAGGCAGAATAAACCCAGAAACCCCCTATCTTTTGGGGTTTTTCTTCCAGGCCATCAAGGGATCACCATGCGCAGGCACCGAAGGGGATCTCCCGTCCCTTGCCTGCTTTCTGCAGCCCGTGGTGCTATTTTGGCAATTCTCTCATTTACTGGGTGGTTCAGCTGAGCCCAACCACTCCTCGGGCTAAAATCGTACCCTGGCAGCCGGCTGCTAATTAGAAAGTGCCGAAAAGCCAGTGGTGCTTAAGGCAGCTCGGGGATAACCAGGACGGCTTTTTCTTCTGTGGATAAAGCACCGGGTTTGGAGGCTGTAGATGTTTCCACTGAAATCAGATTTGGGGTTAAAGAGGCGGGGAAGGCAACACGGGGTGAAAAATGACTCCCAGTCCCTACCCAGTCCCTACCAGGCTGTGGTTGGAGCTGCCCCCGCAGCCCCTCTGCACCCTGTGGCCGCCCGTCCTGCCAACGCATCCCTCCCCTGCTGGCCACCCGCAGCCTGGCACTGTCACCGTGCCCATGGGGCAGGAAAGCTCCGAGGGCCGTCCTTTCTGTTTTTGCATCAAAAGCTGAGCTTTTCCTTGCTTAAACGTGGCCTCGTAGCCTCAGTGTCGGGTGTATCGAGCCTCGTGTCCCATGGCTCACGTTATGATTGTGTCACACTATCTCTGCGGGCTCCTTGGAGCCTGGGGACAATTTCAGGTCCGCTTGGTGAAGGAAGGTTTCAAAGACCTTGAGGCTGGGTAGGAGTGGAGCAAAGACATCGTGCTGCAAGCAGCCCAAACACGGAAGCAAGGGCTGGCACAGGGTGTCATTACCCGTCCCCAGCTGCATGCCTGTGGCCTTTTGGGACGCACCCCGTGCTCCTGCAGATCCGCTGCTTCAGGAGCCTCCTGCACTCGCTGGCCTGGAGGCAGGGTGCCAGCAGGCTGTCTTCCCTCCATCCCCTTATCTCATCCCAAGGAACGGAAAGGGGGCAGAAAGAGACTGTTCTGCAGGCTGCCCGGCCTGGCCGAAACGCCCTGTTCCCTGATAAGCCTGCAAGGCTGATGCTCGCTCCCACCAGCAGCCCCAGGCATGGCACCAAAGGGGTGGCTGTGCAGCTTTGTCATCCCTCTGTCCCCTCCGTTCTGGGGTGCTGGGTAAGGAACAGGACACTCAGGGACACCAAATGCCATGAGCCACCAGGTATGAAAGCCCACAAAGCCTGCACGCTCCTGCCATGCTGCACAGCCAGGGCAATGACAGGGGTCTCTAAGCCCAGGGTAGGGAGCAGGAGGGGAGGAGCCCCCAGCCCGGACATCACCACTTTGGGAGGTGGAGACCAGCCCCAGGCAGGCTTTGTGAAGCCAAGCTGCATGATGAGCATCCCCACCCCTATCTGCAGCCAGCTTGGGGTCACCGCAGCTTGTCAGCACAGCTGATTTGCACCCAAAGCTTCCACATTCTTTTTTCAGCAGGTAAAAGCTGGAAATCCAGCCCCAAATCCGTGCCATATGGCTGGGGAAGGCCAGGGAGGATACAGCCATGTGGATGGGTGCTGGATCTTCAGGAATCTGGATGAGCCCCCCAGCTGGTGCTGGGTGGGAGCCTCTGATTGTCTGGCTCCGAGATAAGCACGCGTTTACCAAAACAGCCAGCTCAGCATTGGGGAGAGGGGAACAAAAGAGCCAGGACAGCGTGGACAGTGAAAGCTGCAGCCCAGACGTCAAGGCCGAGCAGTCTGGTTTGCAGCGAGCCAGACTGGGAGTTACTCCTCGGTGGGCACGACCCTGGCCATCAGTCCTGACAGTCTGGTGAAGAGCAAGCACCGCCAGGACTGCTGGCTCTGGGAACAGCCAGTTGTGCCGCAGCGTGCCACTGAGCTCCGTGCCAAACTGCCCGCTGCCACCAGAGCTGAGCTGCTGGGCAGCCAGCTGCTGCTGCAGGCACTGGCCATGCCTGGGAGGAAGCTGGGAGCAATGAATTATAACAAACTTTGGCAAAAACACTGGCTCAGGACAGCAAGGGGGGAGCTAGGGAAAGGGATTTGTGCAGGGCAGCTCCGTTCCGGGACCCTGGAGGTGTCATGCAGGAGGGCATGGAGCAGGAATAGGGCACAGCTCCAGGCCTTGGCTCTGGAAGCTTCCTGCCACCGGGAGATTTTAATGCAAGAAAATAATGCAGTGATGTTAAATTTCTGTCATTTAGCTTCTCTTATATTAAAACATAACAACAAGAGTCTGCAACATGTTCCTTGAAGTGTCTCCAGCCCCTGCAAGTGCATCTACCGCAGTTAATTGTGCTTTACATTAATGGTAAAGAAGACTTTCAAGTACTAAAACTCTCTAGGGAAAGAAAAAAGTTGCAATTATGTCAAAAGTAACCTCAATGTGTGAGATATCTCCTAAATATAAAGTAACCACTTCCTTCCTACTTTAGTTGGTTTTCCTTTCTGCAGGACAAGCCACATGCGACTGGCAGACACAGCAGACATCCCCCAGGTGAAATGGAAGACAGAGGACACATGCAATGCTTTCACTGAGATGAGAAACCTGAATTAAATGGACGGAAGCTGAGCTAAGCACCAATACAGACTCTAAGACTGGTCAGAGATGTTGGAGAGCCCCACATCCTTCCCCTTCCTCCGTCCCTTCTGCATTTCTCATCAGTGCAGGCGTTCTCCTCCTGGGCCTGTGGGTGCACGCAGCGCTTGGGGATCCTGCCCAGCATCAGAGCCCCGTGAGGCTATGGCCTGTTTGGTTGAAAGTGGGCAGGGAAGGGGGCAAGAAGGTGAAGGGACTGATCCAGGTGTGTTGAGATGAGCCCAGGATGCAGAACGACTCCTCACATTCCTGTGGTTATGTATTCACCGAAAAAGCACTGCACTGGTGCTGAGCCTGTGTTCTCTGCTCCTACCTGCAAGGTGGTTGGCCCGTCAGCTGAATCATGCTGCTGAGGAACAGTGATTGCTGCCTGGTGGCCTCCTCTAGCCCCAAAGGACACCTGGATATCCCTCACCTACAGCACCCACTCTGCAAAAGCCCCTTCTCACCCATATTGCATGGAGAATGGAGAGTTTGTCTGTTCTGTAATGGAAACAAACATCTGCCAAGTCACAGATTACCCGAATCCAGTTTTCCTGAGACGTGTCCCTCAGGCAGAGGTTGCAGTCAGCTTCTAAAGATAGGTGCAATTTCCTCAGAGACCTGCCTTGCATGTAATGGCTCGTTTCCCAGCCGTAACAGCCATCTTTTTGCTGAAAACCACTTCTGCTGAAAACCACTTAAAGCAGCACAAAGACACACGAGACACACAGACATATGCTGAAAGATAGAAGCAGCACCTTGATTTACTGTGGGACTAGAAACAGCGTATAACCTCCTTCTCTAGATTTGTCCATTTTTAAAACCCCAAATGCAGCTGTCTCCTCCTGCCAGCACTCCGCTTCCTGACATCTGGCAGGGCCGGGAAAGGTCAAATGACGGAGCAAGCTGGAGATAGGCAAACAGTTAAGCCATCGTTTTGCTGAAGTCCTGCTTGAATTCCTGCAATAAATAAATTAAATAAATAAATAAAAGGGAGGAAAAAAAAAAAGGCACAGACCAGAAAAAGTTATACAAAGATGCCCTCTGCCGGTCAGTCACAAGTCAAAGGAAATGGCAATGGTTAATGTTCATAGACGTTTCAGACAGAGCCCACGGGTCCCTGCAAGCTGGAAACTTCACTTGCAGTCCATACTGACTGTGAGCTGAAAATTATTTGAGGTACTAATCAACTCAGAGTTTGTTTCTCTCTCTCTTTTAGACAGCAGTGTTATTTGATTAAAACTAGGATTTAAAGAAAACCTTCTTAGAAGTGTTGCAAGCTCTTTCTTTTGATACAAATTGCAGATTAAATCTGTTAAATCAGTCTACTAAACAATGCAGACACACTACATAAACATATTACTATCAGTTCATCTTTTTCTTGTATCAGTTTAATGCCTGCTGCTTTAAGCCTCCACTTTAATATAATAATTAGGAATTAAATCAGCATGAACTGATTTCAGTGCATTCATGCTGAGTATTTGTGATAATCAAACTACACCATTTTAAAACAATGCCATTGGATTAGAAAGCTCCACTGACAGAAACAAGCTCTTAAGAGATCCTGCAAAATAATCTTGGACGTTTAAGAACAGTACGTGCAGTGAGTGGGCAACCCTCTCCTCCTACTTCATTCTTTTCCCCTAAAATTAAATCCTGTCTGCAAAACCATTTCATGGTAAGGAGAGAGTTTGGTGCATGTCAGCATTGTGCTGAAGCTCTAGGAGAATCCACAGGCTGAAACAATCAAGTTGTCTCCCTGGTATTTTTGTTTACTCTCTGCTCAGCTCACAAATGTCTTTGGGATTTGTTTCCGAGCATGATATGCTCTGGCAAACTCCAGGTTCACCTGGAAATGGCACAGAGGCTTTTTTCTCCATGCAATCAGGTCAGCTAATAAAAGCATCAGTCAAGACCTGTCAAATTATCAGACACCAGTGAGTCCTCCTTTGGCTGCAGACACTACAGCCATGGTTGGGATTAGCCATGGGCTTTGCGGAGCAGCTAAGGGGTCCCAAATGGAAATGGTACTGGCTGCATGTGGTTCAGCTGCTTCTCCAAAGTGAGGGGTTTCCTGAAGCTGGACCTGCAAGTCTTTGCTCCTCTGTGCTTCCCAGGAAGCAGTCTGGTTGTCTGGGAGAGCTGGAATAAGCTCAGGTCTCTCTTCAGTGTTTCAGACACCTGGTATCTACCTAGCCTCCTCATACCAGGTTACTGTGCGGATTTCTCCCCCAGGTAGGACGCGCTCTTTCCAGTCTTCTTTAGAGTTTCCAAGAGGGTGTCAACATTGTGCTCCGAGTCGATGTACACCTTCTTGTTGGGCAGGTCAATATCGAACTGGACACCTACAAGGAAGAGAAAAACATTTTGCACAGCTAGAAGCAGCCAAACAGTATAAGAGCAGGACAAAACTTACTTCCATGCAGTTGTGCTCCCAAGGCCATCAGCCAAATGTACACGTGCCTCCTATCAGCAAACCCTGATACTGCCACCAGCCAGCAAAACCAGGCTGGGGCCCTGCCAGCACTGGTGCAAGGAAGCCAGATTGCCTTACAGATCAGCAACGGGCACCACAGCTTCTGGAGTGCTTTAATCTGCTCACTCCACCTTAGCCCAGAACAATCACTCATGCAATAAGCAGAATGAGCGGAGTTTAAACCAACCACTGTAACCTCCAGCAGCTCAGTCTGGGCCGAGGTTGGGCATGGATGAGCACTAATGAAGGCGCTAGTGCAGGGGTTAAGACAGGGTCAGGGTGGGTTCTCTCACAGGCAGCACCAGCTATCAGCTGTAAGTAGGAGGAAGCACAAGACACCTTCCCATGTAGATATCCCAGTGGTGAATAAAGGTGAGCCACTCTCAACGCAGTGAAAGCAACTCTACAAAGTCTCTATCCAGCCACGTTACATCACAAAACTTGTAGGTATGAACTGGCTTTGAGGGCTCTGCTGCTCCATCACATGAGGCTGAATTTGGCCAGCATGTCAAAGAGCAGCAGGAGGAGGGAGGTGCTGACAACCACACACAGAGGAACTGGAATCAACACAGCCTGGTAACGGGGTCCTGAAGAAGTCCCAGGGCCTTCAGCTTGGTGACTGAAAGTTGTTCCCGCTCGGTGAGGCCAGGGGAGCAGGACAACAGGTCCTCACAACTGGTGAGTGCAGGCCAGATCCTGCTCTCTTGCTGACCTCAGCACAAAGGAGACACAGGTTATAATTTTCCAGGTGGTGGAAAAAACAGGCTGTGCAAGCAGCCACCAAACGCTCTGCTCGCCAGCACTTTGCCGTGACTGCTCTGCACCAGGACGCCGATGACACATCCAGGGAAGCACCACAGACACCATGGGCCTCCTTGGGCTGGACATCCACCTCCTATCCTTCTGCCCAGGCAACCTGAGCAGGTGTCCACCAGTCCAGCTCCCAGCAGGTTGAGGATGAGGCCCTGGTGACTCACAGAGCCTCCTGCAGGCCTGGCAGCCCCTCCCTGCCATGCCATTTATCCAAGGGACAAGTCCTGTTAGCAATCAGTTACTGCCCAACCGGCAGCACAGAGCAGAGCGGGGAGCAGAGCTTTCCTCCCAGCCACTTTCAGCTGTTACCCACATTGCTTCCTAAGCAAAATGAAGGACATGGGGCAGCGACATCCAGCCCCAGAGCTGGCACTGCAGTGAGCTGGCGGTCACACACACAATGCCAACAGCTCGACTCACCTCCCAGCCTGTGCAGGACGCGGGTGACCGCATTGGAGCAGCCCTCACAGGTCATGTCCACGAAGAACTCGTGCTTCTGCAAAAGAACAGACAAGGGGTCAGGGGGACGCAGCCACCGCCATCCTTTGCCCTTTGCCTTGGGGAGCTGGCTTCAAAACCGCCCCGGGCAAAAGGTCAACACGTGCCACTGCGGGCTCCTCGGCAAACCTAGAGCTCTCGGTACTCCTGCCTGTGGTGCCCATCGCAGAAACAATCCTGAGGGATCTTTGGAGATGCCTGGTTCAGCCCCAGGAAGGAGGCCAGGCCACCTCAGGGCCAGCACAGGTTGCCAGCGCTGGGGGCTTCTGGTGGCCCCACTCCAGCTGCCCCTGGCGGTCTGGTACCTGCCCATCCTCTTCTGGTGTCTGTAAGGTGGCTGGGCCCCAACACAACAAACTAACAAAAATGTTAAATAAGAAATGAAAGGGCACGAGTGCTGTTTGTTCATGCCTCTACCCCGCCGGGGCGCAGCGCTATCCGCATGCCTCAGGAGAGATCCGGGGCTGCACAAACACGGCCGTACCGTGCAACCATCGGCACTGCCCGGACCCTACCTTCCTTTCTAAAAAAAAGCCCAATAATTTTCCCTTAAAAAAAATCAAATCAGGGCAGCTTTTATTCGCTACCTGCACTCCACATCCCTTTACGCCCTTCGCCCCCCACCCCCTGCAACTACCGCAGCTCTCAGCCCTGCACGGCGCTGGGGCACCCCTATAGCCCCCCTGCCGACTAATTAGCGTTTCCTAAATATTTTCATTAATGAAGCCCAGCCTCGCTCGGCGGGGCCCTAAAGCAGGCGCTGCCCATGCCGATACCCCCGGGGGGAGGCTCCACGGGGCGGGGGTCGCAGCGCAGCGCCCCGGGGACCGCGGCTCCCCCCGGCTCCCCCCGGCTCCCCCCGGCTCCCCCCGGCCCCGCAGCCCCCGGCCCGCACCCACCGGCATGGCGGAGCCCGGTCCCGGCTCGGAGGAAGGGGCGGGCCGAGGCCGAGCACTGAGCTCCGGCCCCGCACAGCGCCCCCGGAGCCCGGGGAGGCTCCGCCGGGACCCGGCCCCGCACCGAGCCCGGCCCCGCAGCGGGGTGGTGGTGCCGGGGGGTCGGGGGGTGCTGGCCTGGAGCCCCGCCATCCATCCATGGGGTGCTCGCAGCCCCTTTGGCCCGTTCTTCATGCTGAGTGGGTTTCAGTCTCCCTTTGGGGACCACGCTTTAATTTTTAGGACAATAATATCTATATTTGTTGTTTAAATTTTATTTTCTGTGAGGGCAACGCAGCTTAAAGCTTCCCGCTTCCTTCAGCTGTATGTCTCTTTATGTTTTTCTGGTAGTAAAACACCGCCACTCCTCATTAGGAGACACACCAGAGGCTGGTCAGGAGCTCTCTGGGTCACAGCGAAGCCGAATTTTCTCCAAAAAGCCTCACGTTGCTTTTGGTGGTGATCCCACAACGGGCGGTGGGATGGAGCTGGGGAAAGAGCTGTAGGGCTGGGGCAGGAGGGTCTTGGGAGAGCTCAATTTTCTGCCTTCTGAGGCTTTGAGATGCCCTGGCACGGGGTTATCAAAGAGAGAGGGGTTCGTGTGGAGCATCTCTACTTCAGAGCAGGTTGAGGGAAGGGGTGCTGGCCCCTGAGGGTGTTTCTGTAGGGTTTGTTTGGCTGCTTGGCCCTTTGAAGGAGGATGGGCTCCTCTCTTCCAAACTGGAGGAAGGCGGAGGAGGCTGGGGCCAGCAGCTGGGTTTCTGCAGCTCGTGTCCCCAGGAGAGGAGACGGGCTGAGGAAAGCCGGCGGCACTGCGTGGGGTGTGCTGCTTCCTGACCACGTGCGGGGCTTCAAGATCTTCCTGTTAAGAAGCCTGACCTGCAGCAGGAAGAATAATTAAAAAAAAAAAAGGTTATTTGCTGCCACACCGAGTGGGGCTGCGTGCGGGGATTTCGGCTGGCCTTGGCTAACCCTTGTGCGCCGCGTTTATATTATACGGGCCGAGCAGATGATGCAAATGCTTTTCCTAGCAGGCTGCCATGGGGGCTTTGATTTTAACGAGATAAGACCTTGCTGTTTTGCTATTATATGTATCTTATATACATACAAAGGAATTTCCCACCCCTGGATTGCCGCCGTTCCCGGAGGGACGCCGGGCATCGCCCCGGCGGGGTTTATTTTAGCTGTAGTGCTGGGTCATCGCTCTCACGTCAAACTTCGCGACGAGCGCGCCCCTGATTTATGGGCTGGCAGATTGCGGTGCGGCACTGCCTATAAATAAATAGCAAAGGGGGGGTCACATCAGTGCTGTGCGTGGCCCAGCGCCAGCCCCGGCCTCTATCTCTGCACGGCACAGCAGGGAGAGGTCGGGCTGAGCCCGGGGATACGGCAGCGGGGGGGGGGGACGGCATTTTGGGGGGTTAAATCTATATTTGCTTCATGCCACTGAGAGGTGTGGGGTGGATGTGGTGTACACAAAGGGATAACGCGTCATTTTAGGGGCTGACTGGGGCTTCCTCGCTGCCCTGCTCTCCTCAGGGGCTCCTGGGGCCGTGCAGGGGGGGCTGTGGGGTGGTGACCGCCAGGCCCGGGGCTGGGCATGGCCCCGCCGCCATTTTGTGCGCGGCCCCCGCGCCTCCAGCAGGGGGTGGTGCGGGGCACGCCGCGCGCGCTGCCTGGCCCTTTAAGGCCGCCGGAGGCTGGCTGTCCGTCAAGGCCCGCTACGCGGTCCCATTGGTCGGCGCGCCCCGTGCCGCGCGTTGTCCCGCCCCTATCTATTAACGGGGTTTACCAGCACTTTCTCAAGGGCGCCGCTGCGCGCCTCAACCACACTACCGCGTCAGGGAGGCCCCGCCCTTCGCGCCTAGAAGCGCGGGGAGTGTCGTTCTATTGGCCGGAGGGGCGATCCATCACGTCTCATCCCGCCCCCTCAGCGAGAATCCCTCCTCCTATTGGTTCCGCAGCGCGTCGGTCAATCTTCCCTCCCCGCGCAGCGAGGTAACACGATTGGTAACACGACCTGCCGCTCACCCCTGCTCCCACCCCCTCTCCCCCTGGCGCACCAATCGGCATCCGAAGGCGGCCGAGCGGCGCGCTCTGATTGGTGGATCCTCCCGCCGCCGGGCTAGGTTGCGCGCCGGATATATGCAGCCGGCGGCAGAGCACGCCGCTGCGTGAGGTGCTTCTCGTCCGCCGGGGCAGGCCTGTGGTGAAGCGGCGCCTCCCGCTCCCGTCCCGCTCCGCCCGCAGGTGACCGGGGGGGGCCCGGGGCGCGCCGGGCGGGCTGCTGGGAGCCCACGGGGGGCGGCTGAGGGGGGCCGGGCCCCCCCCCAACCCTCCCCTTCCTCCTCCCCGGCGCAGGCCGCGGCCTGAGGGGGACCCGGGGGGGCCCCCCCCGGGGGTGAGGAGGCCGCGGCCGCGCTCACGAGGCCCCCCCGGGCCTGTTGGGGCCTTGTGGCCGTTCCCCGCCCCCCCACACCTTGGGCAGGCTCCTTGAGGGGAGCGGGGGAGCCCCTGGGGCCCGCAGCGCCCCCGGAGGCTGCCCTGGGAGGGGGGGGTGTGGGGGTGTCCGGGCCCCCCCTCGGGGCTCCCCGGGGTTGTTTTGGGGGCTGGGAAGGGGCCGCGGGGGGGCCGCGTGGTGCGGGTCGGGGCGCGGGGCCGCCAGCTTTGTTCTCGGCTGGGCGCGCGCCTTGTGTCCGTGAGGGTGGGTTTGTGGGTTTTTATTTATTTTTTAATTTTTTTGGGGATAAAACCGGACAGGGATGGGGTGTAAGGGGAGCGGGGGGAGGAAGGGGGCGGCCCCCGTGGGGTTGGTGGATGGAGGGAGCCGGCAGGGGGGCGCGCATCGTGGCCCCGCTCGCTGCGTGACCTTGGCTGGGGCCGGGATTAAGCCGGGAGTGAAAGGCGAGGGGCTGCTGCGGGGGGGCTGCCCGGGCCCTCGGGGGGCGCACCGTGCCCTGGGTGAGGGGGAGAGAAAGGGGAAAGGGAAGGAAAACCCCACAGCGGGAAGGTTTCCTGCATCTCTCACGTGCGCTTCAGCCTCAAGCTTTATCTGATACATTACCAATTCCTGACGCGCTTACCTGGTGACCTCTTTTGTTACGGCTTGCGTACATATACTCAATTACCCCATCCAAAGAAAATGATTTATTTTTTTTCTCCCCCCCACAATCGGTTGAAAGCAGCGTTTGTAGCAAGCCGCCATGTTTTCAGTGCATGCTATTTTTGTCTAGCCTGTGCTCTCACAGTGACAGCTTTAGGAAATGTGGACACTGCCACCGAGCTCCAAAAGCTAACGCTCCCAGGTGCCACCAATCAAATGTGGTGCGTGGTGGGTGCTAACGAGACCTTGTGGATGGGCATCATAAAGAGAAGGGGGTGAAGAAGTTGGGAAACAAAAACTGCACTTGGGTTCTTTTCTGAAATCTTCATTTTGACCAAGTTTTCATTTTTTTTTTAAATTCTATTTCTGTAAGGAGAGACTTTTACTTAAAAAAAAAAAAAGTTCTGTGATACTTCTCTGATTCTGGAGGTAACATGGGTGCATCCTGTGAACTGGACTCACTCACCTTTTCCAGGAGTGTTTCAGTCGGTGTTCTTAATGAAGTGAAATTTAGCTTCAGTTTTAAAAAAAAAAAAAGGTAGAAGGCAGCTTAGTAGGCAATATAGCTAAACTGAAGGCCACTTCTAATTATTTACATGCTTAGGGGTTTTGTACCCCAGTAGTAGAGCATCTTTGTGAAGAGAATCTCTAGGCTTTTTGTTAGTAATTCATGTTCCAAAATGAGTTTTCCCGAAAGGCAGAGTTAAAACACACTAGCAAGTGGAGTTCTGCACCGTCCTAGAAAAAGGATCACATCAGCTTTGAAGCCTTTGTAAATGTACATCCTTAAATATAAATCTTTCTAAAAGAATCTTGTATGCATCAGATCCAACTGAATAGTGGTCTCCCTTGAGATGTGGGAAATAAAAGAATACGAGCTAGCCCCAAAAAGGGAACTTGTTGAAGTATGAGCCCATTTAGTTGAAGGCTGGAAAATGTACTTGAAAGTAAAAGAGAAGACCAGGCAGACCAAATTTCCTTTGTGCATGCGGGTCAAATGTAAACATCAGTATCACCTGAAGGGATTCCTCGCTTTTTTTGGTGACACTGCGATCTAAGAAACAAAACCAAAAGTAGATGGTGGGAAAGCTTTGTGTGCTGTGAGTATAGGACCGCTTTGCCCTATTATTCTTTTTGCTGCTGACACAGCAGCATCAACGCAGTTTGTCACGCAGCTGATGGTACTCTGGGTTTGAACACCAATTTTTAAATATGAAACCTTCAGGCACCTAATGAAACAGGAAGTTCTTCACTGTAGTCCTGGTTTTTGTGCACTTACTACCCGTGGTCTCTTGAGAATGTACTGCAAAAGTTTGAGTTTGCTATCAGAATTCACACTTAAAAATGACTTCAGCAAGATGCACCTTGTTTTAGTGTGTTTTACAAGGTGATGTTGGTTTTGATACCCTCAGTCACTACTGAAAGTGAATGGTGTATGTCTGAGAACTGGTTCAGGAAGCTAACATTTTTTCTCCTTGTGGACTGTTGTAATAGTGTATGCTGAGGAGCGTGCTTTAATGCAAGTGTAATAAGACAAGTGGTGTTGCTGTACATGCACATTGATGTTTCTGTTCATAACAGTAGTAATTTTGAGAGAGCAGTCATGAGATTAACATAAATGGCTTATTGGATGAGTTAGAAAAAGCTTGAATTGAGTGTGGTAGTTTTAATACTAGAAATGAGCATTTTTCTCCAAGGAAGTAGCGTGATGAAAGAAAAATCAAAGAGGAAATCAAAGTAGAGCATGGCTTTGGGTGGTACTAGTAGCTACTCTGGCTGTAGTCTGCTGTGCTTGAAATAAACCAGAGGTGGAAGTAATAGTTTTGCCTGGAAGGGTGGATATTTTTTTACAGGTGCCTGTGTCAAACTTCCAGAATTGATTTGAAGAAACTAATAACTTTGTGCAGAAACTGCAAATAGACTTGGTAATCTCCAGCTACTTCACTGACCACATGGAAAAATACAACT